GTTCAATGCTTGTTTTCAAGAGGATAAGGCCTCTCCAGGAGATCAAGGTCGTAAGTAGTTTTATATATTGTTCTTTAATTTATTTAGTTTTTCAAATTTAAAAACAATGTATAATATTTGACGTTTGTTACAGATGCTTCACCAGCATCAATTTTTTGATGTATTCTGGGAAAAATCCAACGGTGGCTTCAAAGCCAAGTACGTAAGTTTCTTTCATTATCTCCAACACTTTGCTTTGTTTTTAAATATAAATTCTAATGTTTTATGTTTTGTTACAGATCCTCTACAAAACAGATTCCCCTTATCCTCTAAGATTCTTACGATGCTTCAAAAACTAAGAACGTAAGTACTTTAGGATATTTAGCATATTATATAATTAAACCGCTAATTATACTGGTACAATTATTAATTATTAACTGATACAATTATTAGTTATATGACTAGTAATAAGAGCTGATTGGCTGCGTTCTCAGTTAGGTGTAGATGCACATATCCATTAAATTAGTGACAAATAAATAATATGTTTGACATATGGGTAATTAATTTGGGCAAGTATGGAAAATATTTTATCCGAATTTGTATATTTTTCGTTCAAGAATATTTTAGGAAACCTAGAATTAATTATCTTCTACAATGATCTTCTACAATGTATCTGTAAATGCAAGGGTTGTTCTTTTTTCGTCTCTACAATTTCTCTCATTTCTCTTATATCGAACTTTTGGTAAAATTTATTTGAGTTGATAGGTTCTCTAATATTTTGTTAATGACTTTAGAATTTTAATTTGTTATATGAAAAAAGAAACCTTCGGAATTCCGAATACAATATGGATAAATATTTCTGATATATAGTAGAGTGATTTTGGCTAGTCACTTGTTTCACATTTCGATATTGAAAATTTGACAGCATCTCTTTTGGATTTCAAAAATCACATTTCTGGCATATTCACTACTTGACAAATTTCAATCTTTTTACTTGATGTAATTCCCCAACTCACTATTGTTTAAACGTATGCTAAAAATAAAACGTGTGCTAAAAAATTAGTGATTTTATTTTTTATTATGTCGGTATTTCAGAGCATGAAAATTCTATAAGATGGTTGGTTTCGTCTGTGGCTTGATCTACTGTGGGTTAGGCTAGATTTGTCGATAAAATAGTAAACGTGAAATCGTATGGTATTATTCGATTGATAAGTAAAGGTGTGCGTTAACAGATGACACTGCAGTGTATAAAATTTGATATAAAGTATTGTGTATTATTATTTGTTCAATTTACATTCAATATTCATATTGAATAAAAATATAAAAAATTCGGATTATGCGTAATCGGATTTTTGAGGAAACAATAATATTAATGTTATATTCAGTTTTTAAAATAGTTGCGTGTACACAGTAAATATATAAAAGATCAGATACTTTATGTTTGTGCGATATTCTATAATAGAATTTGCAGTAAAAAAAATCTTTAAACGACTGTATTTGATTTTGTATTTTTACATAATAAATGTTACATCTAACTTCTTTCAAGCGCATGTCCTCTCATCCTGCAGGACTTTTAATTCTCTTCCTCGTCATATTTCAACTTTCTTCTCTCAGTAACCCAGTTGAAAATCTACTATTTGTTGTAGTGTTTTACTGTTTCTCTTTACTGTAATCCTACGTCATTTAATGATGTAGTCACTTTTTTTCAACAAAAGGAACTCCTCCTCTTCTAATAAAATTAATTAATTTTAAAAAAATTAATGAATGCTTTATTTAATATGTTTTCGATCACATATTAAAATACTATTTACATACCGTCTATGTTATTTGCACTTCACTTCACTGACGTTCGCATGAAAATAATGCGCACATCACTTGCGAATAATACGTAGAATACGTTTATTGAAAGTTTGTTACCTTGTTATTACTGCGAAGACTGTCACTTCTTACTTCAATGTGACTTTCGTACACATGAAATGTGATTCAACGTCTGGAGAAACATATGTGGATTTATGTAGATACGCGCAAGCACGTTTACACGGGTATAGATACGGATCGCGTATTATATCTATGATTCAAAGCCTTGCTACTAGGCTGCAAGGCGTGCGGATCATTATATTAACCTCATTTACGAAAACGCTCGTTTCCCATTGTTATTTCAAGATACGTTGATAATCAAAAATAATCAAATAATATGTTCTCGTTGATAAAGCTTCTATTTTATTTCTTTTCATTCTTTACATAAAGTTTATCGATAAGTTTGTTGTACAGATGTTAACACAACGATCGGTGACGTGATTGAAGTCATGCGATTTTCAGAACTTATTGTTAGTGATTGATACTGTAGCGTCATGTGATTTTTAGCAGTTGTAAATTCTCCACAATAATTTTCGATTTCTGAATTTGAATTTGGCATACCTGCTTGTTACACTTCGCTCTATTCTTCCACTATCTAACTCTTCTGAGGAAGAAGAAATTCCTTATAGAACATTATATCTGCATTAAATGTTAAGGATAATTTTAATAATTATAATAATTTCTGTATGAATTTGAACAGGAAG